TTTGGGGGCTTCAGCCAAAACACAGTCATAGCTACGTCTTAGATTGATGGGTATCGCTTTTGGGGGGTCCTATCGCTTTTGCGGCTTTTTGTGCGATTCCTACATCTCACGGCATTCCTTCTCTTCGTGCTTAATACGCGAGTATTGACCATTGCTCATATATACATATACCCAGTCTGGTAACTAAATTTAAGTTCCTTTAAAAGCCACCCAGGCTCGTAGCAGTCGTGCGCGGCAGCAACGAAGGTCTTGGCCACCAGGGCAGCCGCGGGGAGGGCTCTCATGGCAGCCAGTTGGCCGGCTCCAGAAGCACAGCCCAGCTCCTGCAGAGGCAAATTCCAGTCATAACAAGATTGATAATGGCAATAAGAGTATAGTAATTGTAGCAATAATGGTAAAAGAGATTAGTAATAGCAATAATGGCAATGGTAATAATGTTAAATGACATCTTCAAACATCTCCAAGCTGCAATGCACAGTTAGGCTGTACAAAGGCTCCTGACCAACGCACTCTCCCCACTGCTCTGCAGTTTTCCCAAGCCACCTTAGGCAATCCGGCAACACGTCTGGAGCAACACGGCCCGTAAAAAGGCCAGCCGCAGCAAACGCCCTAACCCAGCGTATTCCAAGCGACACGTCACAAGAGGAGTCCAGCTGTCGAACGTTGTTCAGGTCTGCACAGCTTTGCACCTTTGCATCTGCGGCTGGCAATAAAGTCACAGGAACAAGGAAGATTCCAACTCTTCTGGCAGCTTTTAGGGTTTAGAGTTTAGGGCTTTTAGCCTGGGCACCACAGCTCTGTGAAACAGTCCTTGGCCAGCAGGCGAGACCAGCAAGGTCGAAACGTATTGGGCACCCGAAGACAAGCCCCAAATGGTGACGTTCTGCGCATCCCCGCCGAAGTTTGCAATGTGGCGCTGCACCCAACTCAATGCACAAAGCTGATCCAGCATGGCATAGTTGCCGGATCCTATGGAGCGCACAGCCATATACTCACAGCAATAGAAATATAGCAATTGTAGTCATCATGGTAACAGTAACAGTAGTAAGAAGAATAGGAAGAATATCCTAGTAAGAACAGGGAAACAGCAACAATGCCGGATGACTACAGTACTGTCCGCCGTCATGCAGGTTCCATTTTGAAACAGTTTTTGCTCCTGCTTTGTCTCCCAGCGCCATGTTTTCTCGGTCTTCCTGTGACAACTCGGGGTGAGCCAGAAAGCCGAAAATCCCCAGGCGGTAGTTGATGTTCACACAGCACAGGCCTCCACATGTCACAGCCACACTGAGTTGCACAAAAACGTCCTGTTTCAAGATGAAAACATGACAACAGTTTCGGGCTGGCCTTGCGCCAGGGCAAGATGATGGCCACTCTCCCTAGGGCAGAGGGAAGTTACTTCATGCAGGCGCAAACCATCTAGCCAGAACGAACCATCCACGCATTACTTCAAAGCCTGGGGCAGTGCGCGGAATGTGACTTGCCACCACCGCCATGAATGTAGACCAAGACTGGCAACTTTGGACACGACTCGGAATCCGCCAAAGCACTCATGGGCGTCCAGATGTTCAGCTGCAGGCAATTTTCCTAAGCTCTGCAACGGGTGAGGCTTTTCTTTGATGTGAATGAGAATTTGAGAATTTAGCCCAGCGTCATCATCTTCCATGATATGGCCTTCGGAGGTCGCACTTGGGCGTCCTGGTTGTGGGCATCTGGCCAGCCTCAATGCAGCACGTCTCACGTCTTCATGCAGACCTTCAAACAGCTTAACGCAAAACCAGAGACGCAATGTTGAAAACATGCTGCTCCGCTGAGCCACCTCCGCTGAAAGAGGGTGCCCTGCCAGGGCGCCGGAGACTTGGGCGCTTTCCAGCGCTCCGCCACGGCATACGGAATGCCCAAGAACCGCGCGACGCCATCTTGCACGCGGCCTTCCACGCTTCCCTGACCCTGGAGGTGTACCACCGGGCCTGGATTCAGGTCCCCTGCAGTTCCCTCGGACATCCTCTCCCTTGAGCCACTGCCTGTGGTGTACACATCGGCACAGTGAACTGCCCTCAGGGAGCTCATGACAAGGACCCTGCCAGCTCTTCAATGATCTCCTCCTCCTGCTTCAGGGCAGTACAGCTTGAGTCACTCCTCTTGCAGTAACAGCTACCACAATAAATACTAGAGATCATAATTAATAGCCCCTGAATAAAACCCCTTTAAGGATAGCTACTGTGGTGAGGAATGAGCCAAAGTACAGCAGCTAGAAGACTGAGGTTGGGCCCTTCCCGGACCTCGTCTGGCAGATGAATCGATGGGCAGCGCAAGGTACGCCACCTGAGACATTGCAAAGCGCTTCCTGAGGCTACCGGCAGCTTGCCAGCTGATTATTTCCGAAAATTTGGGGGGTTTCCATGTATACCGCAAGCACTGTAGTGGTCCTACTTTCTACGGACTTCCAGCAAGGAATCGCAGGGGACCCCTCAACTTACTGGTTGTTAGTAGGGGAGAAGGGAGTATAATCCCTATATGATCCCTATGTATTTTATAACCCCTAGACCCTATGCATATGCATATATATATATACCCTTCTTCCATACCGCCCCCCAGTAAGTTAAGTGTTGGAAACCTCCCCGGCAGAGCTGGGGAAGAGGCCAAGCTTGCACGATGCGAGCGGCAGTGTTTGGGTGGGGGGCAAATACCGGCTTGGTCAGGTCAAAGTACTGCACCTGATAATAATGTAACAGTATAGTAGTATAGTAAACTATTATTATATAGTAATACCGCAATATGGTAAAATGATACAAGTAGCATGGCAGCATGGTGCTCTATAGTCTCTCCGACTACTGCCTCGGTCGGCGTCTGCGGCGTGATGGAGCCATCCCTGCTGCATGCCGTGCATCCAGAGAACGATCGGAGTGATCAGGGTTCATGGTAGCTATACTAACCATAGTAGTGATAGAAAGAATCAACAATCAGCACTGATATTTCATAGCTGAAAAATTCTAACAAAGGCTCCACACATGTCTGAACGTCTTGCATGCCTCGAGGAAATTGTCGTGGGACTCTCAGACTCCTGCTCATCACAGTTTGGCCACGCAGTTTAAACAAATATGAACACATATACATATATATGTATACACATACACAATCATATACATATATGTGTATATTATATATATATATATGTGATTTTTGATAAGCACTGCATCCACCTGCCTCTGACGTTGAGCCTCAGGCAAGTGATAAGTCACCATGGTCTTGCATGGGCCCTCTGTTTTTTGGATGATTACCCCAATACTGGAGAAACTAAATGGAAAGAACATGGTAAAAGAAATGAGCTAAAGTCTAAACAGTCTAAACTCATAGTATACCCCTTAATAGACTCCCAAGAAGTAATCCCTATATAATCCCCCCCTTTAAGGAGTTTAGACCATAGCTCAAATGGAAACTGATAACATTCCGAGCCACTTCTCTCGTCCTCGGCACGAATGGAAGAGTCTCCTGTCACTCACCCAGCAAGCCCAATACCCCTTCAGGAATATAGCTTACATCATGTTAGGGACCCTGATATTATTTAGTGTATATTCTTTCATTAAGGGGTAAGCAAGCCCTATACCCCGATACTGAATATAGCTTACATCATATTGGGGACCTCAGTTATTCTTTCATGAAGGGGTATCGGGTTCTCTGGGAAGCTTACAAAAGGATGCAATCAGCTTCCGCAGTTTTACACAGAACCTCGCGCATCGACCAGCAAGAAGTCGTCATCTGAGACCTGGACCCCAGAGCTCAGCATCTTACTGCACACTGGGGGTTTGTAGGGGATGAGGCAAGACAATCCCTATATAGCCCACACATGTATATATATAATTCCCTATAACCCCCAGTAAAGTATGTATAGGAAAACTAAGAGTCCCAAGAGGCCACCTCAGCCTCCGAATATGCGAAGTTCACCTGCGCACGGAACGCTACTCACGCTCAGTTGCGAATGAGGGCATGGGCTGTAGGGCTTTTCTTGGAAGTCCTCACGGGGCTACCGTATGCCTCCGTTCGCCACTCGCCACTGCACATTTCAATGTTTTTGTCTGCACTACTTTTCCTTCCGCTCCAATTTCACGACTCATAACCCTGAACCCTTAACCCTATACCCCCTAAACCCTTGACCCTTAACCCTAAACCCTATAAACCCGAAACCCTGAACCCTAAACCCTAAACCCTTAACCCTAAACCTGTAACCCTACACCCTAATTCCTTAGGAGCCCTAGGAATGTTTCCCAGTCCTCCTCCCAGCTCAGCGTGCTCTCCCCGCTGTCGCTGCAAGGGCTGCGACTGCGGCTCCGCGAGTCTCAGCGTCACAGTCATGGGGACCCATTGGGGATAAGAGGGTATCTATTTGGGGTTATATTGGGATAATGGAAAAGAAAATGGAAAACTGCTAGGGGTTCTATGGGATTATAGGGTATCTATTTGGGGTTAGATTGGGATAATGGAAAAGAAAATGGAAAACTGCTAGGGGTTCTATGGGATTATAGGGTATCTATTTGGGGTTATATTGGGATAATGGAAAAGAAAATGGACACTGGTATAACAGAGTACATATATATATATACTAGTGTCTAGGGTGTAGGGTTGGCAGCTTCCTAAAGTAGGGGGTAGCTGTAAGAGGCCTAGGGATATAGAGTGAATTATGGGGGAGTGACATGGAGTCTTCTCAAACAGGTGGGGTCCCTTTTTCTGGAAGTGAACCATACTCTTGCAACCGCAATGTCGAGAAAACCCAATGGTGCTTCACGCAGCTTCCCCCACTTCTGAGGCGCGAGCTGCTGATGCGGGACATGCTGCAGATCACGGCCTCGAGAGCAGCTGCGCATACTTGTGCGCTCCTCCTATTTCCCCTTATCCCCTGCTATAACCCCAGGATATACCTTACTATAATGTAGTAGTTTCCGTTTTCTTTTACATTCTAATTACTTATAACCCCAGTGTATTCCCTTTCTTCTTCAAATCTCTGCTCATCTGAAAGTTGGCCAGGGAGCGAATGGGGTATGCTCAAAAGGCTGTTGAAATGCCCGGTCCCCCCCACCTTGAGCCCATATAGCCACGAAACGAAGGAAAGCGCAAGAGAAAGGCAAGAAGCGCATGAAACAATGCGAGGCACCATAGCTGGGTTCCCAAAGTTAGGGGTACGATTTTGGGAGTCCCAATGATGAAGACCATAATATATTGGGGGTCTAATTGGGTTCTCCTGCTATTTTGGGAATCTATCATAGAGGAGTCACAGGATCAAACAAGCAGGGAGGCCGCTTGCGCATCTGAACCAGGCTGCTCCTCAGGTCTCTTTGGCTTGAAAAAGGACAGAGCAATAGCAATAACAATTACTGATAGCAACAGGAGTAATTACTAGTAATGGCAAAAACGAGTAATTAGTAACAAGAGTAATCGCCGAAATGATAGTACGTAGTCTTCTGAGTGACACTTGCCAGGAGTTGCCAGAAAGGCTCTGAGAGGCATCAATGACCACCTTTTGCTCGACATTCTTCACCTTCATCATCTTCTGCGCAAACCTTCGCCCCATGCAACCAGAACTCAACCCTAAACCATGAACCCTAAATAGTAATTTCCATCTTCTTTTCCATTATCCCATGATAATCCCAATATATACCCTATTATAATACAGCAGTTTCCATGTTATTTTCCATTATCCGCCAGCAAGCGCCTAAGCGTCATCGCCGTCTCACTGGCCCAGTCGGCTTCTGGCCCGATGTTGGCAACCAGCAACGCCCGGGCTCCGCCACCCAGGCAGTCCCTGAACACCCCAATCTGAACAGAATGAATGGGGTTTAGTGTTTAGGGCAATAGTAGTAATAGTGATAGTAAGGGCAAAAAACCATAGAAGCAGTAATAGTGACAGTAAGGGTAATAGTTATAGATAATACTGCACAGAATGAATAGAATGAAAGGCATAGCGATAATGCAACAACCGTCAGTAGAGAGATAAAATTAAAAAAAAAAAAAAAGAAACGTAACACGACTCTAATTGCAATAACCGTAAAACATACCGGGAAGAAGAGTAAGAGGAAGACCGTACAAACAGCAATCACTTACGGCAGCCCATCTGAGGCGAACCTCAAGAGCATGGTGAGAGCGGAGTTTCGGAATCCAGTGCTGTTTTCGTAGCCTTGCGCAGCGTTCAACTTGCAGTTGGTGAGCAGGGAAGGAAGGAAAGGACCACAGTTCGGGGACGCTTCTTGGGGATCATATAGGAACCACTACAGGGATCCATCCCCCACTCCCTACTCACCATAAGCTGATACTAGTAGGGATTTAGGGTTTGGGGTTT